TCAGTTTTTGTTTCTGGGCAACCGACCTCGGTTCTGAAAAACTGTCCTCGGAAAAAAATCTGTCCTCGGTCACAGAATGTACGGTCGGTAAACTGTCCTCGGTTGGTGTCCACGTAACGTCCACGGTATTAACCGAGCCTGGGATTCACGAACCGACTTCATTTTATAAACCGTACAGGGTTGCCTTTATCCGACCTCGGTTTTGTGTTGTTTCATAACCGTGCTCGGTTTCCAGATTACGTCCACGGTGATAACCGCCGACCCTACAGAATACACAAACCGTATTCGGTTTTGATTTTACATTAAACCGAGCTCGGTTGCCCAGAAACAAAAACTGATCCCTTTATTGAAACACGTTTCGCCTAAGAACTAAGTAAGCTCGATCAAAATACGAACGCGCATGCAGCAAGAAAAAATAAACTAAACTAAATTACATTGTTACATTTGTGATACAGTGAAGTCTCTCTAAAATGGACACTCAGGGCTGGTCCCTACCTTAGTTACAGGCCCTTGACAACGAGGGACGTTTGAGCAGCGTGTTTTTGATGAGGTTATGTCAGACTGGAATAAATATGTGAACCATGGAAGTAAATAGAACTTTGGAAGCAGTTTTTGTATAAAACTGACAAATTCACCCGTTTTCAACTTGAAACCTGTCAACATTTGATATTGGAACCTAAATGTGCAATTCACGTCCTGGCCTCAGTGACAATGTGCAAGTAATTTTTGCCGTATAATGATCCAAGGTTCAAGCGGATAATGACCGTGGACAGAGGTTTGTCGCTGAGTGACTGCAACCTTAAAATCAAATAAAATATGTGAAGTTTGAACTGGGCTTTACCTGCAACACTTTCCATCGTTATTAACCGTACAGCAGACTTTATCATTCTTTCCATCGTTGGGGCCTGGGCAATAATTTCGGAAGAAAGTTGCATCGTCTCTACATGTAAAACCTCCGGGCAGAAAACATGCTGGACCGTTCCAAAAACAACAGCGGGTCCGTTCAGTAGGGTCGAAGAACCTAGCCTGGGACGTGTAATTCTTTAAAGTTCGTTTAGCGGGGCACTGTGTTATGCTACGCACTGCCGATCAAGATTACAAAATGTTAACAGCAACAATGACTGACCTACGAGTAGTTTTTTACTGTTACGTCAACGGGAACGACAAAATATCCTGTTGTTTTAGTCTCCCAGGAATTTCCAGCACTTAGATTATAGCTATCGCAATATTGGTTATTTACCGGCAAGGCTATTTTATTTAACATTTAGTTCCCGTTCCTCGTCGCTTCAATAAATAATGTTAACTCTCACCGGCGGCGAAAAACCTAACTCTAACCACGAAATGCGGGCGACATTTCCGATTTCTTCAATGAATTTTAAAAGATCGAGGTGTTTTTTTCTCTCGATCGCCTTCTTTTCGCTCGTCCCCAACTACCGAAAGCCTGGAACAGGCTTGTCAATATAGGGGAGTTATCGCTCAAGTTTTTGTTAACTGAATAGTTCTTGCACTAGAGGGAATATTACTTTCAATGTGTTGGAACTCTAGAGTAATAATTTTCGTTACAATAGCAAAACTCAATGACCGATGTTTTCTGTTATTACGGCCGCCATGTTGGTGTCCCTGGAAAGGACACCAACATTGCCAGATTTCATATCGTGAGGGACTGGGTACGAGTCTGTAAATTATGGGATTAGCAACTATTGATCCACATAGTCATAAAGAGCAGACCATGTTTTACAAAATCCCCAGGTTTGGTGTAAATAGACCCAATGGTAAGCAAGATACAGCCATTTGAAAATGTCAAAATTTACAAAGAAATGTATGGCCATCCGGACGCTGTCCGAGCGCAGCGTCCGGATGGCCATACATTTCTTTGTTCATTTTGACGTTTTTAAATGGCTGTATCTCGGTCAAAACTAGCCTGATTAACACCAAACTTGGGGATTTTGTGAATCTCGGTGTGTTCTTTCTGACTAATAGGTCAATAGCTGCTTATCCCATAATTTACAGACTCGTACCTAGTCCTTCACGGTATGAAATCAGGCTATGCCTGGCTCTGTTTTGGAGCTCGAAGGGGTGGTGTGATTTACATATATTTGAGCTATCGCTGATAAACTTGCATAGGGTGAAGTATTTGAAAGAAGCTTTTCATTTTTTGGTTTCAAGAACTTTGCTGCTTGGTCACGTGACTTGCCACATCCAATTGTTTATATAAATTTGAATCCAAATTTACAATAGTTTGCAGTTGTAATGCTTGACTAATTTTGATTTATGCGAATGGCTATAACCACCAAGTTTAGAGAATTAATTGGGGTTTGATAGATTTATTTCTTTTGTTTCAATTACAACGTATAACCATTGGAGAGGGACTGGGGCTAGGCAAAATAGGAAATAACGACAAAAGAACAAAACATTTTCAGAATCCCCGTTTAGACTGACGATATATACTTAGGTAAGGTGAAGGTTTTTAAAGAAAATAAACGAGTGTTTTTTTTAGTTCGTTTACATCTTGAAACTTAAATGATCATATTTATTTCAATTTAGGACGTGGTCAATCACGTGACCACTTAAGTCGAGTAAATTGTCGGAAAAAAAACATGTTACATTTATAGAAACGTTTTTAGGAAAAACGGAAGAAATCTAGAGAAAATGGCCAATGTTTCAGATATAAGTGAGACCCATGCCTTATTAAATTCAAGTCAGCATGGTAGACAACAAGCAGGCTGACCATCCTATAAACAACAGTGTGTCCTTTCAGGAGGGTCAGACAGCCCAGGACACGTGTATGAATCGTTGTAAGGTCCTAGACATCGTGTTATGTTTAGACCACGCACTGCTGATCAAGAAAAGGAAAAGTTCACAACCGAACAATTGAAGACAATGAAAGTACGGGAATATGTTTGCCGAGCCTTTCTGTTCTGAGTAAAAAGCTTAAGTCGCACTCGGGTCAACTTCCCAATGGGGTATCTTATCCTAACTTTTTTCATAACACGAAGCCATACCAATAGCATTGCTACTCACGCAACATGGCCGTCACGCAACATGACTGAATGGCGCTGTTTCATCTTTGTTTACTGTAACTACCTGAAACCCGAAAAGGATCGTAAAACCGTGTACCGACATTCGGTACACGGGTTAAGGGAATGTCCCATGACCACAATTCAAAATTAAAATTATCGAAACAGCGAATGAAAAATTTCTGAACCCTAAACTGTCCTTGGTTCACTCAATCTGAAGTCCTTCAACTACATTTTGGCCAGTTCCTCTGCTTCCTCTGAGATCAGTGGACTGTCTAGAGGTGTCCATGAAGAGCAGTCAGATTGTAGTTTAACTGGCTCGTGTAAGATAGAGCGGTTTTCAATTGAGTGTCGTAAAACCAAACCCAAACCAATTACTTACCAATTAGACTACTCAGCCAATCTCAAGCCGTAGTAAAACCAAAACCAAAACCAAAGTACAGGATTCCCTGTGAGTGCGGCAAAGTCTACATCGGGGAAACAGGGAGATCTATGCAGGAGAGGATCAAAGAACACGACAGGGATATACGACTCGCC